AAGAAAAACAGCATTCGTGCAAGTTACATGTAAACTCGATACTTAGGTGGATCATCGGAACCTGACATTCGCGGCTCGATGATGGCTAGTTGGATCTAAAGTCTCGTTCGGATTAGTCAAACTAATTGAATTTAAGCTGCCTGAAACTTATGTTTATACAAGTTAAATTACTCGACTCGAAGTCGTTTTAATTGCGCTACAGTGAATCGAAGCGTTACTCGGTTAAAATTTAAACACTACTAAGCTGCAAGGGAGCATAAATATGATTCGTATCTTCGTATCGTCGACTAATTATATTTCTACTACAGAAGATGAAAGCAATTAAGAAAGAAACTTGGAAATTTATATCGAAATCCTTTATATCGTTATAATACCATATATATCGTTGCCTGTACTTGACTCGTTTTTAGATAAAACCTGCTTATACCACTTCGCCTCTACCAAACTCCTCGTTTGTTCCAATAAGTTGTGGCTAGCCAATAGTTCTCTCTTGCAACTAGTTTATATCATACACGTACACGTATGTACATGTATTCGTTGATCGATAACTATGTATATTTGCGATCGTGTATACCTTTCATCGCGTTTATTCGAATCATTATGAAACGAGGAATTTTTATTGCCCTCTCTGACCCAAAAAATATCGATACAACGGAACCTCTCAAGACGAGCAACACATTTAATTTCCTCGCGTACAACTTTCCTTCGTTTTAACGTTCCCTAAATAGAATAATACTGACACGACATATAACGAATGAAAATTGCTTCAAATATCATAGCGCATATTAATACTTATATCCAGTCTTCGATATTGATGAATTCTTAATTTATGTAAAGAAAGGAAATAAGGAAATCGCGTTGTTATCGATACGATTAATCATTATGTTCGTATTCCATTCGTAATCCATTCAACGACGCTGACATAGAAAGCGTTTCGAGTAAAAATTTACGTTTCTTGAATGTTTCGAAGATGCTTATCTGACATCCGTATTCCACGAAACGCGCCTTAAAATATACGTTGGTAACATTCGCATTATCTCGTCTTGAAGTACAAAAATTCTTATCAGCGAGAAAGATCGTGCAATTAAAACGCGTCATTGTCCCTTTGAGAGGTCGATGCGACGTGCGATTAGGAGAACAGATTCGCGTTCGCTGAATACAGAAATTTCATAGCGAAACATTTGCAAGAACAGTGGCGGTTCCTAAGGTTCGTCTTGCCAGCAACGAGCTCGAGTTTCACAATTTTGTTGACCCGCGGTAGCCTTTGACTTTTTAAAACAAAAACGAAAGGACTTGGTCGCGTTTCGCTCTATTCCCAACGATTTAACGAGCTCCTTCGTCTCCGACGACAAAGAACAACGTGCGAAATAACCTGCAGGATACGTCTAACGCGTCGCTTTGTACCGTGGTTTCAATAATACGAAACGCAAAGCGTAATTTAAAGTAAAACAAGCGAAGTTTGGTTCGTGTGCTTGATACGCAGCCGGGATCGTGACATACGGATAACGTCCGGTCTAACCGCTCGTGGGAACGTATTTTTTCGCGTTTTTATTTAGCATCGAATCGGCGAAAAGAAAATAAAAGACTACAGGGATGAGTTCGATTGAAATTTATGCGAGAGCCCGGTAGAGAGTGAAGGTAACGTGGACAACACATGTATACTTACGTAAGTACGTACATCGTCCGCGGGTCTTATCTCAGCCCTTTACGACCGTCCAATTGCCCTCTCTCGAGACTTAAGACATGCAACAAAATTTAGGATACCTCGGAATAGAGCTGACAGCACGCATCTCTTTTATCCGTTGGTTAAATGTCTCCCTTTATATTTACTTTTTGCTTGACTTATTTCGACAAATATAGAAAAGGATAGAAGAAAAGTAAAAGAAATACACAAGTTTTCAGTAGATACAGATTGCTACTAATCATAATTAATGTTATACGTATGACGCAATATAATTTATCATATTATCAATCGGCGTAATATCGTGTATAATGGAAAGAAAGAGTTATTTAAGAGCGCGTTAAGATAAATCGTTTTCGAGTAACTTACTGTTAGCGTGGGTGAACATCGATGGTAAGAAATAAGAATTGCCTCGAGTTTTTCAAAATCTTACCAAAAATAAATCGTCCCGTGGATAAATCGGTGAAAAATAAAAGGTATTTACGACGGTTTCATCGCGTAACTAACTCGCGTAAGATTGCACCAAGCTGTAACCTTTGTGACATATATATACAGGATGGTTGGTAACTGATGGTACAAGCGGAAAGGGGGTGATTCTACGCGAAAGAAGAAGTCGAAAATATACAATAACCATTTTTCGTTTGAGGCTTCGTTTTCGAGAAAATCGACTTTGAATTTTCGCTCGGTACGCGTGCACTTTATCGCGTCTCGTTATAACGGATCTCACTGTAGATCGTTGTCTCGATGGAAAAATTAAAAAAGATAAAAAAAAAATTTTTATTCCATATTTTCGACTTCTTTTTTTCGCGTAGAATCACCCCCTTACCAACCACCCTGTATATGAAATAAGACCGAGAAATAAAATATGTTAGAATACAGTTAAATTAAGAGATAACATTTAATAAGCAATAAATCGCTAATATGTTTGATATGTTGTATCGTTGATAAACGGGAAAATATCATCCTTGTGTGCCGATGAAACTGCAAGATACAATTACGGCGAGATTCGCGATCGTACAGACATTACTTTATTTCGAATAGTTACCATAAAGAAAGATCGAAATATCTGGACAGATTGGCTTTCGAAATATTCTCGCAACCTCCAAGAATAACATGTAAAATGATAGCATTTCGCTTTATTACACTCATCAGGCATGTTTATATACATCGGTAACGATACACGTTTATTACGAAGGATAATTCTTCTTGATAACGAGGTTTTCTACCACGAAAGAAAGCAGAAGAAAAGAATAGAAAAGAAAGTCAAAGAGAGGAAAAGTAAAACAAAGCGATCACAAAATTAACCAGTATATCTTTTCGTAGGAATTGCCATTTAAACACGCAATTGCTAATTCACTAATTCGCAATAACGGTCGGAAGAAACTCGTTCCTCGGTAAAAGATACAATCGTTTGAGATTTAAATCATGCGATAAACTTCGCTTACTTGCTTGAAGTGCCACGCCGGAAGTAAATATATAAAGAACAGTAATGTCATATGACGATCGGAGCGAATGTACGAATTACAGGGAATTCGGAAGCAATCGATCTTAACTTGCGATCGTGAAATCTGATTTGATTTTGATCGGCCTACAAAAACACATTGCCTCCATATGTAAGACGTGGAGCACAATGTTGCAGGTATAGATCATCGACGTCCGCACATATCCCCGGGCTGCCAAAATGACCACCAAAAGACTTTCAACTTCAACTTCTTTAAAGCGAAGCCGTTATTTATTGCGGCCGGCCGTTTCGATAACGAAACTTTGGACCCAATATATGGGCGATCACGGGATATCCACCATTTTGTTGCCCTGAACCAGTCCGGTGAAAGAAAAGAAAAGAAAAAAAAAAAGAGGAAAAAAATAAAAGAGTAAAAAGGAAAATAAAAGAAGGCAATTAAGCCGGAAACAGACAAGTGGTGGAAAAAAGTTAACGGAGACTATGTATGTTCTCGAGATTGAAATTACTCGAGCACTCGCCGGCGACAGCCCTGCAACTTTGTTGTCTCTGTGTGTATTTTCAGTGAAATTAATTGCTCGAGATCTGAATAAAATCAAATTTATCTTCTGGTATCACGCGAGCAACTAACGGTACTTTTTATTCTGTTCTGCACATTGTACAACTCCGTCTATATATAAGGTGAACGTTTAAACAATAATATTCTTAGGCGTTTTTCAACTAACGTTAAAATAAATATCTACGGATAGAACAAAGTTGAAGTTTGTATATTCGCGCGCTAAAACTGGAATATAATTTTTACATTTTCGTTGGATTCACATGATACACACTGACAATATGACGAGTATTATTTACCAAGGTAACATTAGCATATTCGCAAGTACGATAAAAAGATGAAACAAACGAAACAAGGATCGTACGAATATTATAATATTTACAAAGTCTGCTAACGATCTATTATTCAGGATTCGCGCTGAAATCGACAGGAAAAGAGCGATTTCGTCGAGGTAGCCTTCTTTCGTTTCGCTGCATTTTCCATATAGGTTCATAAACGGTACAACGTGTAAAGTACTTACGTGTACGATGAAACTACCACAACTCGAGACTTATTGTGAGCATGTTGTAACAAAGTTATACAATACAGCGAGCGGTTAGGACGATAACAGCTACTCAAATATCTACAAAGGATTTTTCGATGGCGCAAAAGAAAAAAAAGAGAAAGAAACGCGGGTATAACGTTAAAAGGAGCGATCGAAACGACAACTCAGCCAAAAGCGATACCCAGTGGAAGCCGTATCACAGCTGTTTTTATCCCTTCTTACCATTTTGCTTCGCCGAACAATTCCTTCCTTCCTATCGTTCCTTTTTCGGTACGAGTCTATTCGGAACCCGATCCTGTTTAAATACGTGTCCCTTTTTACGAATTACGTTACACTGTTACGTAACGAACGGGGTTCCGCATTACGCGAATAACTCGATGCACGCGTCTGCATTGATCGCAAGCTTCTTCGCGCAAAATTAGAGCGCGGGAACTTGTATGAAAAAAGTTGCATTCGTGCGGCTTGCTTGTCATATACGACGATCTTGCTGTCATTGTTCCTTTGTAATCATCCAGGTTTCATAGTGTCTAGCTATTGCAACGAACGATATAAAAACATCGTCAGTCTATTAACCCTGAATACTAAAGTTTGACCATTTTCCACGCGGTAGAATCGAATAGACAAGAGAGAATCGTAAAAATGGCCGCGCGTAAATTTATACTTGGACTCTGTTCGACGGCGATGTTTACCAAAAGGAAAGACGAACGGTGTCAAACTCGATGTAACATGACAATGTCGATATAACGTTTTGGACAGTCATATTCTTTAGCCGATGTATCGGCCGTTTATGGGCGGTCGGTAGACCATCGAGCGTAAGTACAATATCGCTGACACAGTTGAATGGCAAGACTGTGAGAGAGCATGGGGAAAGAAGCGATTACCGAAAAAGGCTGATCTCGATGAACCGCTGCACCGTTACCGATTACACGAGATACATGGTGCTCCTTCTGGTAACAATATATGATGTATTCATAAGGATGTACACCTACACGAAATGCAACGCCTGCACCAGCATATTCGTCTCTTGATGTTCGCTACACGCGGTGTGGCACGGCGCGGCGCGGCGCGGCGCGGCGGCCGGGCTCGAGCATGCACCGATGAAGCGTGTGGAGTCGAAGAGAACGGGCTCAGGCGGAAAGAAAGAGAAAGAGAAAGAGAGAAAGAGAAAGAGGAAGAGAAAGAGAAAGAGAAAGAGAAAGAGGAAAAGAAAGAGAAAGAGAAAGAGTTATATACACGTACGACGTACGGTCACCCTGCGATCGACTCACGGGAGTAAAGGTTTTACCGATGGCATACCCCATACACGCAGAGAGTAGCATATAGCCAGAGGTTCCCACACTGTAAGCCATGATTTATTGGCCTGCCACCCGCCAGACCTGCTGTCATCATCGTCCCATGGTTGGTCCAAGATACAGCGAAGCGTACCGTATATAACTTCCCTTTCTGCACGATCTTCGCGCCATATCAACTCCTTCTTTCCTCGCACCCCGGCGAAACAGGAAGGTCTCGTTCGATGCCGCTCTAAAACCGTCCATCCACCTTGTTTTACCTTATGTAGCCCGATATCTACCTATCTATCTCTCTCGTCGTTATTTAATAATTACCTCTTTCTTATCTCCCTCGCCAGCATTATCTCCGCGTAGGTAACACACACGGCTTCTGTTTTTCTCTTTCTCAAGCAAGGACGGCAGTGTTTATCGAACGGTACCTTTACTTCAAAGTTGATTCACTAGCGGTAACGCGGTTAGCCGCGTTTCGTAGAAATCGCCTCGAATTATTCTTTTTAGACTGCTGTTAATTGCGACCGTGTCTCTCGTCGTGAAGGCTGATACACTTGTGCGCTTGATGCATCCAGCAGGAATACTTATGACGTGAAAGTTTTACTTGTGTACTCAATTACGAATCAGGTTTCAACGATTCCGTGCCATAGGTCGTTACTCTTACCGTTCTCTGTACGTAATCGCTGCATGTACGCCATGCTACAAACATAAACAATTACACGCATAATCCAAACTTAGAGAAGTGGTCGCCTCATCTATCTTACTTGTACTATTCGAGGAAATGAAAGAGGCGTTTCGTTTGCGTTCACCGTAAGACCCGATCCGAACGAACGGTGTAACGTGGTCATTTTCCAGCGGAGGCACAATAGGATTTAGCAGTTTCGATAAAGTTTCGATAGACGATCGTAATTGAATGCAGAAGTCCGGCGAATCGTCCAGCGAATCGTCTAGCGAATCACCGCTGCGAAATCTCTCGTCCCCATCGAGCGTAAAAGTCAAGGTGCACGATGGAGAAAAGCAAGAACGCAAGAAAGCGTCGAAGGGGTAAAGCCGCGAACAGCCCCTCGAGGACAACAGTGTTGGCACTTGCTTTTCGTCTCAGTGGACAAATTGGCGGAGACCTCGGCAACCATTCGTTCGTCTAAAATTCCTCGGAATCAGGGTCACCCACGTATATACACGTGCTAGCACATGTACGGCTAAACGTAACGAGTATATATGGTTTGGTCGCTCGTGGGGGACGAGGCAGGGTTGAGAGTAAGGGAAAGGAGGCAAGGACGAGGAGGGGAAGGAGGGTTCCTTCCAGAAGATGGGGCAAACACGAAGTCGCCTCGGTAGGAAGCGAAGAGGGGTTATTTCGTTTCGTCTCAGCGTGGTTTCCCAAGCGGCAGCCTCGCTCGCCGACTGGCATCGTCTACCGTTCGGCATACAGTCGAACTCGTTCGCCACTGAACGACGGACGTCGCGGCGTCGTCGTCGCCGCCCTTCTCATCCCACATATTTTCTCATCGCAGCTCAGGAAAATCGGTCACCACGATGCGTCACGCGCAACCACTCGGCTTCTTCCTTCTCGTATTTGTGTCAGTGTACGCGCGCCGTGCCACCGGTTGCGCTTTCTGCGAAACACTGTCCCAGCAACAGCTACAGCTGCGCCAGCTACAACAGTTGTCGCAGCAACAACCGCACCAGCAACAAGGGTACAAAACGATCGGTAGCCCGAGGCCTTTCGGTGCCGAGAAACCGACCAGGGTGCAAGAGTTCAACAGGACAGGCGTGCTGCACCCCGAGTACCAGATACCAGCTACGCTTCGCCCCGGTAACGTATCTCAGTGAGTATCTACCACCCTGTCTTTCTTCTTCTTTTACCAAGCTTCGTCGATTAAAATCTTCAACTTGATTTTGTAGCGCAACGTTTCAACGATTCTCCTTTCCCTCTCTTATTAATCGTTTCGTTGCTCTCATTAATCGAGAGAAATGTCTTCTAAACTTGTTTCCGCTTTATTATAATTAGCAAAGTTTTACCGACTTTCCTTTTCATCGGAATATAGAGCGCACTGTTTAAAATAATTCCTTTGTAACTTTGAATAGATCATACACACCACTGCCACATCTACTCGTTAAATCTATTTTGTAATTTTTAAATAATCCATCTGCCGCAATGATGTAAATTTAATCTATATCGGTAAACCGTAAATTGGTTGTTTAGAGAATCGGTTAAACGCGTTCAAATTATCGCCAAATTGTTGATCGTGCAAACGATTGTCTTATCGAACAACAACGAAACGAATGGTGATTTTAACGTTTATTTCCTAGTTCTTTCTTTGCGAATAACGTTCCATTTGTTTCTTCGGTTGTGAAACGATAAAATTATTTTACACCGAAACACCACGGATTAAGTTACAATCCAATTCACTCGGATTGGAATGCCAAATCCTTTGGCCAAGCAATATAATAGAAACGTAGATACCCGTAGATTACATTACCGAGAACGTATTACACTTCTGACTATCGAGTATCGAGATACGCTAGAATGACTAATGTATCTTAGAAACTGCCAGTTCATCTATAATCTATGCAACTATCGTTCGTATACGAAAGAACAATTGGGATCAACTTAAATCGTGTTCTATCGTAATATATTACGAATATATATTACCAATGAAATCATTCGTTTGAAACATTTTTTACATCTTACTCGTAATAAGGGACCACAAACGAGATAACATGCAGTTTATCCTAAAATCCTCACTACAAACAAAGTTATTACTCGAGCAAGGGGAAAAAGGGGAAAGGTGTATTTTTGTACTTAAAAATCCAGATTTTCTTCTTGACAAAGTAACACTTTGATCTAAAGATAAACAACACCGCAAGAAAGGTGCATTCACTTTTCGCCGAACCATAGAAACAATTCGTGCGAATTTCGTTTGGGTTACATAGCTTGTTTATTCGATGCACGTGTACCCAAGCCTATGGAGCTTTGAACGTTTATACGAGAACGTCACGAACCCCGTACCGTGTTTCATCAACCGTAGCACAGATTTTACGAATGCAATTTGACTCGAATTACTGCTAGATGACATACATGTGTAATTCTCATGGTATCGCACCAACTTCGAACGATCAGCAAAACTTTCGCGTTAATATGCTTGTTAAAATGATCCTTTAAACTTTCGTTACTGCGTTCCTTCACCATACATGCCATTTTCTCTTCTTTACACGAATATCGTTTCACATGCATTAAACGGCATCTTTTATTCCAGTTAAACGAATATCATTCTATTATTATACTATAAAATAATATGAAAAAATACTTTTAGACACCGACCCTTATCGCTTGTTACTACGATAGTTGTGAAAGCGTATCGACCAATTCCGTCGTCATTTTTTCACCACCGAACAGTTACAATTATTAAAATTACTTGCGATAATGTGTATATATATATAAGTAAATGAATCGGATACAAAGACGAAGCAACGTTCCGCTACTTTCGTTTCGAAAAGAAGATTCGAATACATCGGTAATCGCAGCGAATGAATTATTTCGATTGGAGATTGTTTTGTCGTTTCTACGTGATCGATTTTCATCTACAGTTATCGTTCTGTATGTCATAGGAAATTCTTACCAAATTTCTAAAAGGATAAAACTGATACCATAGGTCAAACTTTATTTTGCACTTGATGGTTCGATGCATCGCGACGCTACGCATCATAAAGTTCTACTATCAGATGGTTTCCGTGAAACTCGTACGCAAGTCTAATTGCACAATTGCTCTGAACACTGAAACGCTAGGTTACGCGTTAAACTTGAACTTAACATACGCGTGTATATTTAACTTTTGCAGAAGGCAGGTGCGTTTACAGAATCGAGCGCCTTTAGCAATTTTTCAATTATTTCGAAAACAGAGTAAATTAAAATCCTTGCAGTGTAAAACATGTAAACAAAGGCATGTAATACGCTTTAATATTATATAGTCGAGAAAAACATCGTTATAAATTAACACCGTTAACGTTATATGACTAAATGAAGTAACACGAGTCGACAATATAATCTCCTTTTAACACGTGTAATCTCTTTTCCACCGTTGTCATTCGTAATCGTGACGATCGTAAGAAAGTTTGAGAGAAACTGTAGCCAGAAACAACGATCAGAGACGACGATTGATCCGAAAGAATGAGTATGCACTTAGATCGGTGTATAAGTAACGAAGAAACAGAAGGATCGAACGGTCAGAATAAGCACACGCTATCTTTCTCGGGAACTTCATTCAGCCGGGGTTCGTCGTCCGGTCTCCCTCCCTCCCCTCCGCCCCCTTCCTAGAACCCCCCTTGTTCCCCTCTCCTTCGTAACTCTCTCTCTCTCTCTCTCTCTCTCGCTCTCTCTCTCCTTCTCTCTCCCTCGGTGTAGGTTAAAGCGAAAGGTCGCGACGTTTCCTGGAAAGTGATGTCTAGGCTAAGGCGCGTGCGAAAAGGCGTCGCGATGCCACGCGTCGTGGGCTCTGCTATTGGCGTGGATTTCCACGAAAGTCGGTAGACGGCCTCGCGCTGCCGGCTGAATGACAGAATCAATTCGAGTCTGTCGTGGGACGAACCAAACGCCAAAATTAGACGACGGGGGTCGTGGATGCGCGACCCCAGACGCCGCGACGCCAGCATTGTGTGTAGACGCTAATTTTACAATAGCCGTTTCAGTGCCAGGCCGTGAACGAAGAGCACGTGTGGCGCGGCGCGGCGTCCCGACGCTCTCTCGGACTATGCTAACGGGACGAGCAGCGACGATGCGACGCGACGACGTTCGAAAGGATGATGGGGATACTAGCCGATGGGAGGGACAGATCTTGTTGGGTCGAAACAGAGACAGACAGACAGACAGACGGACAGAGAGAGAAACAGTGACGGCTGTGTCGAGGCGTAAACTTAACCGGTACGATCTTTAAACGGGAACTTTTGTACGATCAAACATTATGACTAAATATAAACGACACGCTGCAATTGTATAGCCATTTATGCGCGCGCGTCCGTGCCTATGTACCATGCATGTGTATGTACGTATGTTCGTTGGATTTTATAATCTATTGTTATTCGGTAATTATTTGCCTTTGGATATTGAAAGATTATTCCGAATGTACCTCGCCCCAGCTTCTGACCGATGGTTGACGGTTTGTTGATACTTGATTGTGGCAGTAGCAACAATAAGATGATCGTTCTACTTTTCATTTAACAGCGGAAAAAAGAAATACCGCTGGGAAAACTTTCACGTACAGAATTTATAACTGTAAAAATATTCACATACAAGTTCAGTAAAATTCCCTTTATCGGTTATTCTTTCTTATTTATAAACCTTGGTAACATTATCTCTTCTCATAATTTGTCTTTAAGGAGCCAAAAAAAAAGAAGAACAAAAAAGGGTAAATACCTCTTTATATCGATGACTATGATCCAAATTTTTCACATTTCCCTCGTAAAAAAACAATTTTTTGTTATATCGTGAAATACAATACTTAAAGCAGCGTGTAACTCTATTATTCTCTGCTCTACTCTATTATTCTTCTATTATTAAATAGAAAATAGATATTTACATATATATATATATATATATATATATATATATACATATATATATGTAAATATGTATGTATGTATAAAGAATACTTTAAAAACAGTTCACGATCTTTTTCATCTATTTGTAGAAGCACGCCATTTAATTAAAATATTTCTTTGTATTTGTTTGGTTACGATTAATACGTATCGAACATTAATATTATACTGGATGCAGATAAAATTATTGCAGGTTCTATTACCTGAGTCCACGTGAAGGACCACCTCTCACGTTACTCGTTAGCCCATGTAGCGGGCCGATATCATGGACGGTCAGTTACGTCGAGCCACCGGAGAACATTGAAGAAACGGAAGGAGCAAAATGTACGGAGAACTTTAGGAATTGTTTCCTATATGATTAAAATCAATCAGTGAACCAAACGAACCTTGCTCCGTTAAACTTTAAAGTTTAAAGGAACAAAGCATGTGGTTTATTTATCAAGCTAAATGGATCGATTGATGGAGAGAAATGGTGGAGAGAAATACCATACGACCTAATGAAATTTCATATTTTTCAAGTTCATACCTTTATCATTTATAGCGTGTGTCAAATGCGATATTTTATCTTTGAATACAATTTATTTTTCTTTTGTATTCCATACCTCGGATTTCTTTCACATACTATACCCATTGTTTACACGAAAAAAGCCACCATTTCTCATTTTTATGTGTAAAAATATACATACACACACAACTATTATATATATATATATATGTATATATATATATATCATAGTTTCTTTAATTATAAAATAAATATCTTCCAGTATAATCTCTATTTCATATACATTCTCACATCCAATTTTCAGTAAATTTTTATCCATATTTAAATCCATAGGTTCAATCGTTTAAAACGAGTTCAAATATAAAACGAATAGCAGTATATATCGTCCAATAATGTTTAGTAGAATTATTCAGTCGTTAAGTCCTTATCTAGAATTTATATGACCAAGCACAAATTGCTTTTCATCGAAACATGTAATAATTATGTTTTACCGAGGTTTCGTTATCTTTGCACCTATTTAAACGAGTGCTGTGGAAACAATACAAAATATTAGAAATCGATAAAGTTAGATTGGTAAAGTTAAAATGAAAGAGTAAAAAAGAGGAAAGAGGGAAAAAGAAGGAAAGTAAAAGAAACGTAAAACATCGACGTATCCAAGAGAGAATCTATGATAAAGTGTATATTATGATCGATACAACAGTTCAAACCCGGTGGCCAGTGAAGAGTTTGAAACCAGGCTCCCCTCTTTTCACGTACGAGGGTGCAGAGGATCAGAATTTTACGATATCAAAGACACGCGCTGGTCTTTATTGGTTCGAAATTAAATCCGTGAACCCTCCTGGTGCCAGTTTACAAAATTTAACACCGAGCACAGTACTGCTGTACGCTACGTCAAGCAGTTTGAGCCATATCCCGGAATTGTATGCAAACGAAATGGAAAATCGTCACCGCTCGTTAAGATTTCAACAACGAAGAAGCAAACGTCGGCTTACGATATCCTGGAATAAAAGGTATCGCTAATAATTTTCTTTTGACGCGCAAGTTGTTGGAAAACTTAGTTGTCACATTTAACGATAGTATCGTGTCCAGTTATATTCAACGTGTAACAACTCCTAATCACAAATTAATTCCAAGAGATAAAAATAATCGAAATGTAATAAAAATTGCCCTATCATATGGACATGTCGAGCTCGTAAATTGTAATTTCGATGTATTTGAGAGATACTTGACAAATTAAATCAAGCTCGATGCAATGTTGGACAAAAATTTTGTAATAGAAGCTTCGAAATCATTTCCTGCATACATATAAAAATGTCCAAACCTTGTTCGCTAATCTAACTCCATAGCAACGAATTAAACAAATTGCAGTTCTGGCAAATATCATTTGTTAAATTTATTTTAAAATTTTAAACGATAATAATAATAACAACATACAATAATTGATTATCGCTAGAACTCTACTATTCATATTTAAAAGGGTAATAGAAAGATCGATGTTTGAACAAAATAGAAATTAGAGGAATAAAGATTTTCTTTGGCTGGTAGACGAAATATCAAGTTTACGATTAACGTCCCAGCGAATTAAAATTGGCTTGTGTGATTCATGCCACGAATTCGACAAAAATCCATTTATTTTTACAGCAACATAGATCCCCACCTCTCGCACTACTGTTTAGCCGTGACATCAGGGTCTCAGGCTCACCCCTTGACCCTTTGCGCCGCGCAAAATGTTCTACGCGTTTACCAGCATTCGACGAAAGGGAGTTCCTCTTCTAAGGAACAGCAACATCGCGGCATTCCGGAAGGACTTCATTGCGTGCGTCAAACAAAATTGACGCTTCACAGGATGAAGTACGATACTACGTACAATGTTACCTTATACGTGGTTAGTAATTGCAACTAGAGGACACTTAATCCTATAATAAAGTGTTTGTATCGTGCCTTTTTCAGTAAAAGCAGCGAAAGAGAAGTAAACCGTTTCTCTTCTTGCTGGAACAGAGAAAAATGTCAGACACTCGAAAAACGAACCTTTTCCACGAGAATATTCATTTTTGAAAGCAGTCGTTTCTTTTTTTATTAGTTTAAGCGTATCGTTGATTTCAGTGTAGAAAACAGTTACTACTGTCTTTCTTCTGTATCTTAAAAGTCGCGCGTTCTTTCTTTTTTCTCTAGTTCAACTATTTTGTTGATATGTGAACGATACTTAGTCATTTATTTTTATTCTGTATCAGGTAAATACGAGAAATAATGTGTCAAATCGAATAGCGACTGACACGATCAAATTTCGGAAGACACCGGAATTAAGACTACGCACTGGACATTATACCACAGCTAATTTGCGCAAAACCGATGGATTCATCAGCTTCCATTATCGTCCTCCGGGAAATACTTCGAGCACCTTTCATATTCTTCCTTGCGGTGGTGGCATCGTTAGAGCAAAATTAAGTGGTCCAGGAATTTTAAGGGTAATGAAGCTTTTATAATCACTAGTCATAGCTGTATATTCAAAGATCTTTGTCGTTCGGAAATCAAAAACTCGATTCTTTATATCGCTGTTTGAAAAACTTCCTTCCATTATATCCATTATATTCATTAATATATATCACGTTTTTAAATGATTAGCACGATAATATGAGATTCGTTTATCTATACTAATACTAATATCTTACTTAGGTAATCAAGTAATTAAGTTCACTTACACGTTTTAACTTTTACGACCCGAAGTTAAAACGTTTCGAGGGTACGTGAAAATAATCAGATTTCTAGAACTCTGTATATTGTGAAGCGAATTAAACCGATACGTTAAAGTATTAAAACGATCCTAAAGTTGAGAGGAAAAAAGACTTTCGTGAAAACTATATTCTACGATGTAATTTTCAATTTCGCAAAAGTGAAAAATATAATTTAAATGATCTAGGTAACATATACATGTTAGTATGTAATACATTAACGCCGTTACATAATGCGATGAAGGCAATTATACGGCTTTTATACAGAACCGCATATTTTACAATAGTAAATCTAGTGAATGTAAGCAAATTAGTTTCTTAAGGGGGTAATATTACCTAGATTTCTTACTTAAGGAACAGTCTTACTGAAATAGCGAAACGAAAAATTATTGGCATTGATATCGAACTATTATAGACAATTTACAAACATTTGTAGGAAAAGGAGGTAGTAGGATATGCATCGTTAAGAGTACCACCTTTAACATCAGGGAAGACGTACACATTACGGATATCCGCTACACCACAGGAATTAGTACGAGTATCTGCCATTAAAGTACTAGCCACCCAACAATCATCCGCGATATATCCACAGGTATTTCATGCAAATTAATGACATGCTCAATAACATTAAAAGCGTAAAATTGCTTTCTAAGTACGCTAGAATTTTGATAACGAACGAAACGATCAACGATTTCACATCGAAACGATACGCTATCGCAAAACTCTATTTAAAAGTAGAGTTTTTAAAATGAGCTATTGCTTGTTTGGTGTCGTTATATCTATCTTAACTCAAGTATGTTGCATGTGTCGCGTGTTAAACAATTGTAAATAGAGAAATTAGTTTATTATTTATTGAAGCACAGGCGAAACGAAATGATATCTATTCGCTGATTGCCACATAAACATCTATATATTCACAAGCTTTATACATACCTACTACTTTTGCATTATTCGTTTACCTTTAACACGAATGTGTACATAAAATTACCACGGTACATAAAATAGATGCTTCTAATTGGATGAAATTATTAGAAAACTTAACGCTGTATATAGAATGGGTATACAGATACGATCAGCTGTTTAAGAAAAAAAATTCTTGTCATCGACATTTTTGTAGATAAATAGAATTAGACGAATCTTAATTTCGAGAAGCGTGTTAAGAGTGTTCGATTAGTTAAGGGTGATTCTACAAGTGAAAATGTAGAAAGGCTGTGAACACTTTGTTTAGATTCCATCTAAAAGTGCGCCACGGGAGTACAGATCCTTAAGAACTTGCCACGAAGTGACAGTAGGGGTAGAGTCGGCAGGTTCTGCTAAGTATTGCATCCTCGTACGAGAATTAAAGAGCAGTTCGTCATTGGCCAGCATGACAACAATTCCAGACCAATGCGGTCTTCATCGTCGACGACGTTCCGAGTATACGTTCGAGGTCTGCGAAGAGAAACAGAGTCCATCGAAAGATCGAGCGCTTCCGTTTACCCTTAAAAGATTACAGCCAGGGAAATCTTATCTCTTACAAATTACAGCTCAATTAAAGGGACAATCTTTGTCCTATCCGTTGTTGACTGTACGCACTCGACGTTCTTGTCTACCTTGATAATCATCGAGGAAAATAGGCATAGGAACTTTGATCGCACGATATATTACTCCGTTTAGAACTTTGTATTTCCTATTCTTAACTAATAAATTCTGATATTCTCTTTCTTTCTTATGATGAAACGAACGCACAGACAATCGATCGATTACTAGTAATTATTTGGAGATACACTGTGACGAATTGTAGAAAGTTAAGATCTTTTGAATATAACTTGTATAGAATTCTGCTGTTTAGATGCAATCTTATTTAAAACGTGCTCCTTTATTTTACGGACAATGTCCGATTTAAAATATCGGTCAGAATATACAAACAGAAATTATTGAGAATATAAGAAGAATTATCCTAAGCGAATATTATGTACGATAACAAAGATATTTCTATTTTTGAAAACCGTGGTGCGAATTACTCGTTAGTTCTCCTAGTTTGAATGTTCATTAATGAATTGTTTAAACAGCCAACATTTAGAAGTCATCGAGTCTTTAAATTCCCAATACACGCACGAATCTATTTTCACTGAGATCTATTCGTTGTTACGAACAAAATTTACGTGTCACTGTTTCATTTAAAGATTACTCCGATAGAATGATATGTATTTATCAATGTGTAGTATAAGTAAATTAATGTTCGATAATCGCTTTGCTATAAAAGAAGAAAAAAAGACACTATTCTTGTTATAAAAATATGTTACTCCATCTCGAGGCTAAATCTAGTCTAGATTTACATTGCTATCGTAATCCAATAACGTTTACCTGGAATTTCTACTTTTTCTCTCCAGCGTAAGACAGGTTTTCACTACTTAATTCTTCTGCAACGACAAACACGCATTAACAATATCGTTGACCTAGAAACAAGTAACATTTACACTGTAAATACAACGTTATCTTATGTAATAAAATGTGACACATAAGAACAGCACTATGAACTACCATAGCACTATATGTATAGCACGGTGCTGCTGATCACGATTATGCGTACTGTATAATTGCAAATAACCATTTTGTTGTTCAATACGGACGATATGTCATGTTACATACCTATTATGGCGTAAGATCATGCGAAGGAAAACATTTTTCATATTGCTTTTTTCCAGTATAAATTCATTTTCTAAATGCAAATTACTAAATATAATACAGGATATGAAGAATTTTTGTAATTTAATTTTTATTACGATTATTTCATTAAATGTTAAATCTAATAGAATTATCATAACTCAGATTCCATTAACGTTCGAAGCTTTTCACCAGGCGAATTCTCTGGTTCAAATTGCAATAACGATATTGCTTCTGACAGAAGGCCTTCTCTATTTTCTCCTGGACAAGCAGACAATTCTCTCAATGCGACTGCAGTGTACAATGCTAATCTTGCACCATAAGGATCTAACGTTTTGGTGGTTTCTATGATACGTTTGCATAGTTCAGGTTTTTTCGGATCGCTTGGGGGCAATAGCTGAATCAACGAATGACTGACACTTGTACATAATTGATGTCCAGGATGCAATAACGTAGTGAGCCTGGAATTAAATAACGATTATAGTTGAATCATTAACTTTCGTTCCATGCAATGTCTAAAAATCAGTTTAAACTCGCAGCAAAGTGATATTTACGAAAATATCTTTTTTCGAAATTATTTTATTAAAAAGAAAAGACAACTTTTAATAGAATTTCGAGCCATATTTTCGTTTCGTGAAAAGATTTTTTGTTGCATTAAAGTATGCAAAAATAAAATAAAATAGCTAATTTCGTTAGAAAAAAAGCTAGCTAATTTTTGATTCGTTTATTAAGAAAAACTTCCTCAAAATCATGTATCTATATACATATATGCATAAGTGTAAGCTTTAACGACTCCAAAAAGCGTAATTATATTGCTATTAAGAGTGAACGTAAGCACATATACGTATATCTCATATAGTTAACATATTTTTGGTTATTTTCAACGCATTGACGATAAACAATAACGACGAATTGTAATTTTATGTACATGTGCAATGTAATATAAAAATATTTTCTTTATATTATATAATTATCCTTTCTATGTATAATGAAAATAGAGTATCGATAGAAAAATATTTCAAAGAAAGAGAAAAAAGAGACGATACGCAAGGATGGATAATAAAATTAATAATTTAGCTACTCTTGTATACCGCAGGAAGTATTATAGATACGATATTATTTTTTTATCCAATGTATGATAAATGAAAGTTACTTTACCGTGACAGAAGATCAACCAATTTATTCTTGTTTGCTTGATACATAATTTCATCAACATCCTCCTCCAATTTTCCAACAAACTGCATCACTTCCGATGCAGTCAAAGTTCCAGGACACGAAATACATCCCCATTGCGAATCAAAGTTTAATGGATCCTTAGGTAAAATAAAATCGTTGTCGTGAGGACATTTTAAGGTTCCAAGATGCGTGCCCAATTCCGTTGGATCGGCACATCGTTTGCAATGGCAAGAAAAATATTTCGTCTCCAAAAGATGAGCTCTTCGCGCTCTCGTTGACCAAAGTGCATGTGTATACATTGTGCTTAAATGGTCCCACCTATACGTTATAAAAGAGAGCTTTTAGGTATATTATTCGGAAAACAAGTTATCCTCTATACTGAGTCTAAGTGTAAGTCTAAGTCTAAAAGTAAATATTTACAATAGAACATGTAAACAATTTACCTACGACACAAACATATTAAATGATTCTTTGATGTTGAGATGTACTACAAAAGCGCTATTTGGCTTTGCACTTTGTATCAAGCTTTATCAAAAATATTCGTCAAAGAGGCATAAAAAGATGTATAAAAAAGAAAAAAACTGAAAGAGAAGACTGTAATGTGAAATATTACATTTACATACTTCTGTATAGAACAAACAGCTATGACCGTGATTCGAGGTCTACCCTTATCGTCGATTTTAAAGCTGTGTCTCGTATTAGCCAAGCAAGAATGCTCCAAAAGACATGCTGTTTCATAAATCGCAACGCAGCCCTCAGGTGGTATAGTTTCCAACGCGTTAACGTCTATTAAGCCGCAAATTTTGTGTACGATATCTTTGCTGGAGGGATTGTCTGGTAAAAGACGTTCGATATGCTGATATATGTTCATCGTTTCCTCATATGCGTTCGTTCCTTGACCACGAGAATCTTGGTGACTTTGTAACTTTTCTATAGAATACCAATATTTCAATTTCTTGCGCCATAATATTAACATACGTATTACTAAGAGAACATCGCACCTGAAACATGAATTAATGAACACTAATTAAGAATAAATGAAATCATGCACACAAAGTAGAACGATATGTATATACATATATACGTATACATATAAATACAAAAACTATATCATTTCTACCCTTTTTTATATTATTTCTGTGCTACGCATACACTAGTCATATTATTTTGTATTGTATACGATATAAGCGTGAGCGATTGTAACGCTTTATAACGCTCCTTCGCTGTCTTTTAAGAAGTGATGACAGTGCTTTTATTAATTTCCAAATAACGTTTAAGCAATGTATAAACATTTCTATGTATATAAATACAAATGAATACAAATGAATTCTCTTATTTTGCTCTAGTTTCCTGCAGCATTCAATTTGAAAGCGAATGTAAGACAGTTATCTCTTTATAAACTCCCTTTATAAATAAAATGTATAAACTTCATGTTACGAACAATACGATTAAACCGAACCATGTCCCTTTTAATCGTTAACTAATAAAATTATTAAAACTGTTTCGCGACATTCCCCTCGTCCTTCGCCCTTACACTTTAAATGCAGCTGTATTTTTGTATTTTGCGAAATGTTACAAACCTAGGAATGATTCTTGCTTTTACAAGAAAAGAACATTCCAGACCGTGCCTATTTTTATCAGTAAGACCAGAACAATCAGTATCGCACGCCGGCCAAAGGCATTTCGTGCATCTTGTATCGCTACTATTGCATTGTTTCCCGCAACCAACGCAAACTCTTTGATCTGAATGTAATGCCGGTCCCCAAACCAAAGGTGACTCTGATAGGATTACGTCGCCCGGATTTAAATCTCTTGATGCCACTAAATACCGTCCGAGTTCGCAGCTCTCACGAATCTCCCATGCTTGACAATTTGACCTGTGTCTAGGCCAGTCCTGTCGCTGGTGCTCCTTTTTGCAATAAAATTGCTGCTTGCAACCGTTACATTTCAGCGTTGCACGTTGATTACAGATCGGACAGATGCCTTCCGTTTGCGATTCCATGCTATATCAATTACTGAACATCGAATAGTTTTAAAATTAAATCTCTGCTCTTTGTTAATCTTCTATTTATGTATAAAAGATATATCGGTAGTTAGAAACAGCTTGCAATTGAAATAAATAGCATGCTAAAATTAATTTTATGTTCCCTTAGATTATGTTAGAAATAAAATGCGCGATTAAATAATTTGAAGGTAAATATTGAAATAAAATGGTGAATACTTATTATATTGTTTGCACTTAAAATTCCTTTAAAGTATTTTCAAGTTTATAATACGTACCTGTAAGATAGAAACGTGAATATAGTAGAAATAATATTAAAACGAGTGCAGCACATCTTTATTTGCGTCAAGTATTTTATTAATTTTGTAATTTTCAAACGAAAATAAGAAAGTAATACGTAAAACGCTGAAACTTGCGATGCCACTGCTTTAAAATTCCGACATTACGACTCTGAAACTATGACGGTCTACATACACCGGCGGTTTAATTATAGGAGCGGTATAGTTACGTAGACGCGCTTCTATTTCTGACAAAACTCTATAAAAGATTGTTATTCGGCGTAATACAAACTTATCTTATTTAATTATTATACATATATCATTTATTGTCTGATAGCGGACTTTATACAAAACAAAATATTCGTCGATTAAAATTTGAAAAGTGCACGTTATTTTTTATATGAACATCGAATATAGCCTTGAAAGAATGCGTTATGAAAATGTTTGTTATAATATTTTTTATTTACGATAAAATTAGCACCTTTCGATATTAATTATAAAGATAATTTAAATACTGTATTTACAAAAGTTTTTGGTAATAGATATTTGTAAGATTATTATGATTATATTATACGACATTACACTTATCGAATGTGCATCTATTTATGAAAAAGGAAAATATAAAAAGTATTCATAATAAAGCAATATAGAAAAATAATTTTATCAACTTAATATAAAATGATCGTAGAATACAACAATTATATGTACAAATATTAATATATATATATATATATATATAATATATATATATAATATATATATATAATATATATATTAATTATATAATTATATATATGTATAATTTCTTTCTTACTATTGTGCAAATCATTCTTCCTCTTCAATAGCATAACATTAAGAGCCTCTTTTAAAAATCTAAATAATCATAACTCTATTTATAACAAATATAAATATTACAGATCACTGTAACATACATAGCCTCTTACTAATTAACTCTTGCGAAAAGTTCAATATTCATTCAATTGTACTTCAGTTAAATCACGTAAAGAATAGCGTCATCATTAAATGTATTTTAATCGTATTATATGTAAATTTACATATCTGATCATGACCATCATGTGTTATATTCTGGTGGTGCGTAATTATCTTTTGTTTTGTTACTTCTATTTGTGATGATGCATTTAGAAACGGAGGATATCACAATAAGACGAAATAGTTACTAAATCATAATAGTTACTAAATACATAATAGTTACTAAAATCGATTCGTCAGTAAAATCTCTTCGCTTACACTTAATTTTAGTAAAAAAAATATACAAATTAAAAGTGGAAAGACTATTCATATTTCTACACAGTACTGCACTCTATCCAATTTTTCTTATTTCCCGAAATCTTGTATCAAAAATTATGAAATAAACGAATACATAAATTTTCGTATGAAATCAGTTTTTTATGCACTGTTACTTACTGTTACTTGCAATTTATTTATGGTTTCATTAATATAACTTTCATTCGGTAGCTTCAATTAACAACAAATTATACTGCATATGATCATTAGCTCCAACATATAGTCATACATTCAGTTAATTTTAATTCCTTGTTACTTACAAAATTTACTTGCATAATCAAATTTTTATAATATATTTATTCACGAAAAAGAAAACAAATTTCTCCATGATTAACAATAAGGGAAAAAAGTAATGCATCTAAATCTAAGTTTCAGAAGAGATAGTCAAAATTGATTTTAATAGGGATTGTACAAGTTAAATATGATAATATTATAATAATAAAATTTCTTTTGGAAGGCAATCATTTAAATATACTATTATGGATAGTCATTTCGTAAAAATTAGAAATATTTAAACAAATCGTACAAATTCATTTTGATAATGGAGATTTTGCTAACTAAATAATTTCACTTCCAAAAATAAATGTTTGCAATTAATATTTTTTGTTATATAATTTTGTTATTTAAATGGTATAAAGAGAGTTATCAAGTAAAATTAATATTCTCAAAAGTCTATTATCAAAGGAATATAAAACTGAAGTAACTTATATACTGGCTAGTGTTCCTTCTTTGTGCTATTCTTTACACTGCCGTTTACATCACGCCATGATTTACGGAAGCAAATTGAGGATCGTACCAAATGCCATATATTTTTCCCAGTACATGCTAGATTACAAACGATTAGAGACGGAGATTCATACTCATTTGGAACGATACCATCGACAGAAGATTCGAAAAAACTAAATAATGGAAACCATATTCTGGTTCTATTTGAATCACGTTGCATCAATGCTTGATTATTGGCTAAAGTATGATAATAAAGAAACAGACGTGATGTAATGTAGAAAGCTACGAAAACATCAATGGAATAATGTTCGTGTGCTGCCAAGATAAAAAATATACCAAACATATTGAGCATCCATGTGAAGGTATGTAAAAAATACAATTGTCGCGGTGTATCTGTAAATAAAATATCATAATAAGAATTATATGAAGGTTAGACGGTGAAAAGGGGGAATGTCAATTTTAACAAATTTTGAATTTAATATTTCTCATATGCTCCTGCATGTGCTCTATATCACTGACTCTTTATCACTATGTCGCAATAATTTGAATAACAATTTTCCAAGTTACACAATAGCTATACTGTATAGTGTATAGTGTACTTTTCATTTTTTACAATTTAATGTGCTATATATCACTTACAGTTATAAGATAAAATTGAAAATGATCCAAAATACGACGAAGAATAAAATGTTTTATTTTGATACATATAACGAAAAATAAATTTTCGTTTTCTAAGAAATGCTAAAACTTGACATTACCTTCTTTACCCGTGGACTCTTCATATACATATTATCTATAGTCTATCTATTCAGAAATATGCTAATACTTACATTCTGTAATGAAAAAATTTAACATAGTTAACGCAACAGTATGTCCACTAAACATATAATCACCGCATGTTCTAACACCTTGAATCGACATACCAGCACCACGCCATATAACATAAGCCATAGCAATTTTATTATATAACTCTACATATGCAGAACTATAAAATGAAAATGTTAATATAATTGTTTTTCATACTAGTCACTTTAAAGGATAAAATATTATTCGCACCTTGTCCAATCTTCGGAAACTTTTCTTGGTTGACATTGCAAATGTGTGCCTGGCACTGATAAGGAAGTAATAAGCATTGTAACACATCTTAACAGGAAGACTGTGCCAGATAAAGCAAAAAATCTCCGCAATAAAATAAATCTGTGTTAACAAAAATTTGTTGAATACTTTTCAAATCGTTTACTTTGCAACTTAATTTTAAATATTAGTAGCATTTATAATATACTTTACCTGTATTTGTGAAAAATTAATACAATCAGCCATATTGCAAAAAGTATAGTTCCAGTAACTTCACACATATCAAATGCCCAAGGAATATGTGGAACGTTATCTAAAAATATATCAGGTAACGGAGGATATTTTTTCATATCAGGCACTCTATCATGAACAATGACCATCACAAAGGCAGTAATCCATGTAACAATAAATAAATATGCCAAACTAATGAAAGTTTTCCAAATTTCAGGTGACAAATGTGACGCATGACCATCTTCTGATACAGATGCTGAATAAAATTCATGTTCAATAGAACCTTCATTATTTATACCACTACTAGGCATCTGTTAAAATAGAAAACAAACTTCTACTATGGAAACACAATTGATATTATTTTAAAATATCTCATTTATTATCATATTTCATATATTAAAGGAACATATATATCGTAAAAAATTTTTCATATTAAGTATTTAACTTTCCTTCTTACTTCATGTTTATGATGATTATAAAAATTTGATGATGGAAATATATCAATATATCCTAATTCAAATAATACTGCCACATTATCCCTTTGTAATTGTTTTATGCTAATATATAATCTTTTTATATCACCAATTTTCTGTAAATTCCTGGATATTAACTTTAGATCGTCTTCTTTCAGGGTCAAGAGCACTTTTCCATCAATTTCCTGATCAAAAAATGAGTCAATAAATTTTTCATGTCCAGTTTCTCTAAGCCATCTTGTCACATCCTTTTGCGTCCACTCAACTATATTTTTCTCAGACATTGTTTATCTTAATACAAAATTGTACTAATCGTACCTAAAAAAAAGCATAAGAAATAATTTATTAACAATTTATATTATACCCATCACTGGATACAAATATATTTTGCTACTTTGACACAATCAAAACTATTGAGAACTATTAGTTAATATAATGAAATATTTCACCAAAATAACGTGTGAAATGAGAAGAATGTTAGATTTTGAAAACATTAAAAATACAAAAATATTATGTAACTTTCCGTTATTAATGTAAATTATAGTATTAACGATAAAAATAGTTTCGACATAGTGATAAGCATATTGACAGTAATAAAATTATTGAATAAATAAAATATAATAATAAAAAATATATTTCTATATGAATTTTTTGCGAAGAAACTTTCTATATTCTTCTACAAATAATTGTCCAAATCACTTACATTTTAAAATATATTTAACCTATATAAATACCATTTAAATACGACATACCTTAGAAACTTAATTTATGGATTATCAAAGCTATGTATCACAATTTTTTCGTGCGTTTATTGTACATAATGAATATATATCATGAATATCATAGTCTTATTGTCAAACAAATCCATACATTGGCAGTATTTGTAAATAAACCAATCCAGACAGAACCATTGATCAGAATGCTACCAGTACAGTTGAATAGGTTCATCACTTTTAACAGCTCTTACTTCTTCGATTTAGAGTATGGTGTACATATCTCTTATGTACATATCTCGACAAACTTCATAGTTACTTTATGCAATTTCAATTCAGAATTACGCTGATCACATTAATAAATTTACTTGAATGATAAGAAACAAACATATTCATGAAACAAATCTAAACAAAATGAAAACACATCAAAATAACTTTAAAATGAAATGAATAATGTAGATTTGAATTTCTACAAGTAATTGAATTTTTACATTAAAATATAAAATATAAACCGTTCTATTCAATATTTTAATTTCCAACCACATAATAGTGACTTTTCATTTTTACGATGTATAAAAGGCTATTATAATATTTAGTATATATTTCCACGTAACTCTCTTATGATACTGTAGTTAATATGATGATTAATATGATACACATATATTTCTGCTCTACTTTTGAATTAGAATAAAATGATTCCTAATTTTCTTTTGAAAACAGTATATTAAAAGATAGTGACCCTTCACTTTTGGATTTATATTTATGCAGTCGATATATCTATCGATTTTGATCTCGATTCAGAATTTGTTTACAGTTAATAGTTGCATGACGTTGGCATTAGTGACGTTGTTCACGATCAGGATGCAACAGAATTACAAAACTACCGTATTATCATGCAATGGCGTATTCTAAGTTCACTTAAACACAGTAGAATAGTCTGTAATTGTAACTTTACAGTGGGGGCGACGTATCGTTTGTTAACAGACTTAATCATTGTGATTTTTGACGTATTTTTCATTCTTCTTCTTAGTTCTATATAAACATAATCGACAGCGCCAATTGCACATCAGACCTAAACTAATAGCATTCGGTGCTGAGTTGGCAGTCTTGACGACGACAACTCTGTAACTGTACTGTATATACTGAATGATACCGTGAATTCAAAGTGGAGTTTAGTAATGAATGTACTTAAACCATATACTTAAAGATTGTAATTTAATGAGCTATGAGCGGCCAAAAATTTCAATACGACGAAAGTGGTGGGACATTTTTCTACTTTCTACTATCATTCTCGGCCCTCCTTCAAATACCTGTGACATATTATTTTTGGCCACGTCGCCCCAAACAAGGTTAGCTCTAGACGAATCTATTTAGATTAACATAGAAAATAAGTGATATTACGATAACGTTCTATGTTTATACGTACTTACAACCGAGTTATGTAATTTCACTATGTTTTACATTTACTCTTTTCATTATCACATTCACTTCATAATGTTGTGGCAAGGGATTAATGAGTTCTTAATTATGAATATCACGTTGCTAATTTTCTAATGTTCTCAATAATATTTAAGAGTACGCTATATAATATTTGATCACTTTTAGTAAAACATTTAAGGTTTACTAATATTCCGATTTTGCGCTCAAAGTTTAATAATGTATTCCTATAAAAAAGTATCTTATATATATATGTACATATATATGATTTAAGATATTCCATCGGTTTTACGTTTTTAAGATAGATTTTTTAAATTAGGCAATATTTAAATAAAATATTATATTAGTAAATTATTGTAATTCATAATACACAGAACATGCACAAATAAACACTGTTTTTATTCTCTAATGGTTTTAAACAAATTACTATGTTTCAAATAAATTTTAATTATATACAATTTTATAAACATTCTTTTCTTAATAATTTTAAAACTCGGTATTATGGAAAATTTAATCTTTTTCATATTTTTCATATAATTAACTACGTAGTATTGGTAATAATAAGGTGAATGGTACATATGATTATTATTATTATTATTTATAAATAGATCCTGATCAAGAAGCAAAAGAGTGTCAATGCGATGGATGTAAAAAGAAGAAAATTATCCTACGACTTAATAAACCTTGGAAAGAAACCAAAGCATTATTTGAGTAACTATGTTTTCATATCAAATATATATATTTTAATTGTATATAAAGTTTAGACGTTTAAAATGTTGCTATATTGTTGTAGCAAATTTCTTATCATTCTTGGATGGGTAGTCCTTATCTTTTTGACATATAAGGTATCACAATTCGATTATGAAATGGCTAATTTTGATCCATTTGAAATACTTGGCGTTTCCTCTGTACGTACAATTAATTCAATTTAAAAAGTATCAATTTTATTTACTATACATCTATATCTACTTAACATTTATGATATTATTATTATTTATAGAGCTCATCTCAAAGTGACATTAAAAAAGCATATCGCAAATTATCTTTAATTCTTCATCCTGATAAAGAAACTGGGAATGAAAAAGCTTTTATGAGGTTAACCAAAGGTTAGAATAAACATAAAATAGAGTGGGTGTGTAAAATAGGGTAAAATAGGGTGGGTGTGCATCCGAGCGCGCATGCGCGCGTGTGTAATAAAATAAAATATTATAGAAATAATAATAACTGTTCATGATAATTTAAATTGTTGAAACGAAGATATTTTTTTCCACATGAATTAATAGCATATCAAGCCCTAACGGATGAAGAAGCACGAAAGAATTGGGAAAAATATGGAAATCCAGATGGTCCAGGAGCAATGAGTTTTGGAATTGCTTTACCTTCTTGGATAGTCGAAAAAAAAAATTCAGTTTGGGTTTTAGGATTCTATTCAATGGTCTTCATGTTTGTTTTACCAACGGCTGTTGGGATGTGGTGGTATAAAAGCATTCGTTATACTGGTGACCAAGTAAATACATCTATGTTACAATATACATATAATCAAATATTAGTAAAAATTGAATATTAATAATTCTTAATATATTATTGGTTTTTAGGTATTGTTGGCAACCACTCAATTATATTATATCTTTTTTATTAAATATCCTTCAATGTCATTAAAAAGAGTTATTATGATTCTTGCTGCTTCATTCGAATTTCATAAGAAACGAAATGCAGAGATAGTCGAGAGATATACAGACAGTGAAGAAGTTCGTTTGGTAAGATGTGCACTATATTTTAATGGTTTTTACTATTATAATTATGATGAATATATATAGAATACATTTTATTGTAATGTACAATTCTTTTTATGTCAGGTTTAATACAATTTTGTACTAGATGTAAAACAAGTGGTGTATGGCTCTTATTGTTTACTTTGAAATTGAAAATTTCTTTATCTGAAGAAATTAATAGCTTAAGGTAATTCTAGATTTTGTATTTGTTTCATTTTCAGCTTATTAAGCAGCTACCAGATCTAGGTGCAAAAAACAAGGCAACACCATTATGTGACTCATATTCAGTTAAAGCTAGAGCTCTAATTCATGCACATTTATTTCGTATACTATTAAATCCAGAAACATTAGAAAAAGATAGACAATATATAGTAAAAAAATGTCCATATTTGATTCAAGAAATGGTAACTTGTGTTAATCGAGTGATTCTATTAGCTTATGCTAGAAGAGGTATATATGTATGCTATAAATTGTAGGTTTCCCAACCTGTCCTACGTTTTCCTAAATACATACAAACGAAAAAATTTTATAGTAGCAATACATATTTAAACACTGGTAATCTGATGAATGTTTTCTTTTATCTGCAGTTCCACGTTTACCAACTATAAAAACTGTAGAAAATTGTATGAAATTGTGTGCAATGATAGTACAAGGCTTCTGGGAATTTAAAAATCCTCTTCTACAATTACCACATATAACAGAAGATAATCTGAAATGTTTCTTACCAAAAAAGGTATCATTCAGAATACTTTAATTTAACCTTTAGAATAACCTACATTTTATTATATATTATAATTAGAAATTTAACTAGACTTGTAATTGGTTTAGCATCAAATCAAAAGTCTTCAACAATTCGCACAATTAAAAGGAGAAGAAAGAAGACTGACTCTTAGACATTTATCAGATAGCCAATATGAGGATGTAATGAAAGTTCTTGGAAGTATGCCATATATAGAATTTAAAGTACGATCTGAAGGTAACAATTATTTAATATTATTTAATATTTAATTATAATATTTTAATATTATATTATTAATATTTAATAATTTCTATACTTGTATGTACACAGTTTGTAGTTATGTTTAAATACTATTTAAAGTAAAATATATCTTACAGTAATTGACGATGAAAATCCAACTGTTTATACTGCTGGTGCTATTGTGACTGTAACAGTATCATTAACCCGTAAAGATATGAAACATTTATTTGGAGATGATTCTATTAAGGAACAAACCATGATTGATGACAGTAAAATAAACAATGAAGCTCCTGATGAAGTATCAGAAGAACAAAACCAATCTGTTAAAAGGCCAGCATGGCTTAGACAAAGAAAGGGTCAAAAGAAGTCCCACAAGAAAGGTACTAGTAAAAAGTTTGCTTCCACAAAGAATGCTCAGACACAATTTCAGTCTAGCAATAATGCTCAACAAATGAATACTCCTAATGCGAAAAAGAAAGAAGATAAGGTAGAAAAAGAGTCTTCCAAAGATAAATTATCTGATGTCAGTGACAGCGATGTTGATAGTGACAGAAGTAATGACGAAGATGGTCATGAAAAAAAAGATGTGTCCATAGATGATGATGACACAGAATGGGAGAGGTAAAATATTTCATAATAATTTAATATACAGAGTGTTTCGTTTAACTGAGAACGATAGAATATCTCACGAGGGCTTAAAGTTATCAGAAAATGACTTGTACAAAAGTTCTTTGATTCAATGATAAGCGTCAGATGGTGCAAATTATTCTGTTACAAATCCAGTAGTGAGAGATATTTTAGGGTCAACTCTTTTTTCTTTTTCTTCTCTTTTCTTTTTTTCTTTTTTTCTGTTCTTCTAATTTTTTTTTCCTCCTTTTCCACCATATATTTTTTAACAGACTAACTGATCGATCTTCATATTTCCTATAAAAAAAGTATTAACCTATTCATATCAGGAAATTATTAGTTTAGCGGATATTTTAACTTTAATCCGTCATATGAAAGACGAGAAAAGACACGAAGCAGTATTTAAAAAGTATAAAAAAATATATGGCACTATTTTAAAAAATGAAATTGAGCTTAAAATCTCCCCCATTACCAAATCCGTAAAAAAATAATTTGCACGATATGATGCGCCCCTTTAAAATAAACAACTCTTCTAAAAGCAATTTTTTAATAACTTTAATCCCTTGTGAGATATTCTACTGTTTACATTCAAGCAGAACGCTTTGCATACAGGGTGGGGCG